ACTTGACAAAACTGATTGACGTTTGACATGGCGCAACCATAATTCACAACAAACAATATTTTACCGATCTGGCAATGTGGTCTCTGATCACGGCCATCACATCGAAATCCCAAAAAAAAAAAAAAGACAAGATCACGCGGGCAGGAGAGTAGCCCGTTAGAATCGCATTAAGGAAAAAAGTTGAACGATTTTGACATTAGCCGTTTGTTTACATTTTTTCGTTGTTTACAATTTGGTGGTGGCTTTTTACTGCAATTTTCTTCATTTTCGCTAGTGACAACGTGTGTACACATAAGATAAAGAATAATTTAACACAACGGCATGATTTTTAGAAGAATTTGCATAATAAAAATGATTTTTCATGCGTTCAACAATTTCGCGGTTCTCTTCGTTGTTTACTTCTTACAACAAAGATGGCGTCGAGATTTCGGCAGCTAGAAAATAACTTTTTTCGTTCTTTCCTTCCCGCGTGATCTTGTGTCTTTCGTTCATGATTCAACACCACCTTGTATAAATTCGCCTTGAAAAATGTAAGCCATGTGGAAATAATATTTAACAATAAGCATTTTATTAAATTCGACAAAAATTTTTCAGATGAAGTGAACCAATTTTAAGATTTACGTTCATATCTCATTCGTTTTTGATGTAAAACATACTTCAACAGACTAGAAATGCCGAGGGCATAAAAATTTGTGAGATATTAAATTAGCCTCGTAGTTTAAAACTATACTTTTGGTAGTTATTGATATTATTTCCGATCATACATATTGTAAGTTAATGACTACTTTCTGTAGGAATAGTCGACTTTGCAAGAAATTGTATGGTACCATACTCGCCAGTTGTCATCCAATTCTTATTAGTTTTGAACATATTTTCTGCTTGCCCTTTCAAAAGGCCACAAATCAAATCTGCTTTAACAGTTCGTAAGCTAGCAAGATTAGTTGGCATGAAACCTATAAAAAGGGAAATTTAGCTTATATGGATACATTTTTCTCAATAAAGTTTACCTCTAAGACATGTTACAAATGACTCGGTGAAGTCCCAAGAGAAATCTCCTATTAGCTTCCGGTAGTTGAGATCTCCTTTGAAAATAATAAGATTGGCCTCTGAAAGTCTGGCGTATAAATTTGGATTGACATCGTGCATTCTATAAAATATAGAAAACATTTATGTCTGTAAATATATGTAGATATGTATATACCTTGTAATACATTTCATCATTACCGATAGTATTCATATGGACTTGTCCAAAAATAATCTAATGGTGCTATTTCAAATTTACTTTCATTAATGAATCTTTGCCATCTCATACCATATTCTTTTAGAATAGGTACACTGTGGTTTTGTAGAAATTGTAGAGTCCAATTGAAAT